GTAAGGAAACTGGTGGGACAGATTTTACATGGTATTAAATTCCAACTGGTAGTAATAAATGAATCAAACAAGATAACAAATGAATTTCACAATCTAGTTTATTGCTTCATTAGAGGGATTTCGCTTACATGTTTTCTGAAAGAAAGGGCACAGATTTTGCACCTCAGATATATTGGAGAGTTTTAATGCTTTACTGTTATTTGCAATATGAATGCAATTACCATATAAATATTTGATTCAGACACTAGGGGTGAATGTATTGTGAGTTTATTTCAGGACATGGCATACTACTTTTTTAGGAGACTTGGACAAGGTATAAATACTGAAAGTACCTGAAATGCTTATTTAACAAAAAGAAAATATTATTTTATGAAATGTAATTATAGTTAGGTTATTAGAAAGTAACACAAGCAATGTTTTATTTAGCCAAGTAAAGTCTTATGTACTGTGCACTATGTCTTCTGTAGGTAATACATTGAGTTTCCTATTCTTCAGTAAAAAAAATTCCACTATATATTAGTCAGGAAAAACAGGATGTGTGTGGCAGTGGGCGAATCCGTTTATCAGGTTTTACTCACCTTGACATGCTTGATCACAAACAAATCTGTATCATATGTTGTTTGCTATTGCTGCTGCTGCACTTTAGGGTCAAGGATATGTTCTGGATTTTCACAGTAAAATCTTAAAAGGGGCAAAAATCAATTCCAGCATTTATAAAGACAAAATCGCAAGTGATCACTCAGTCACAGCAAACAAATCTAGAAGCAGTAACAACTTAAAAAGAACTTACATGTACATCTGTTAGAACACTACAAAAACTGGAATTGTGGTTTCAGACTTGTGTTGAGGTTATTTTTTTGTTACACAAGATCTCAGTGTGACAAAAACAGTGTGCTACACTACTGTCTTATGAAGAAATTTGATTCATAGGGAAGAACAATTTATTCTCTCTCAAGAAGATGGTCTTTTATTTTGAAACCTTATAACCTTAATACATTGTCATGAAGAAGTCATTTGTGTTGATATTTCTTCAGGATCAAAACTAAATTGATCTCCTGACTTTTCAGGGCAAATTTAACAGTTTACATGTCTTTTATTTTCAGGTTTTTGGCTTAAGGGTTGGCCAAATGCCATGACTAGATGTTGTAGTGCAATTCCAGTAGGCAGCACAGCCCTGTGCTTTCCCCCCAGTCCAGTGGTATGAGGGGAATAGTCAAAAGGGCAACAATCAGAAACAACTCTTGGGTTGCAATAAAGACAGCATGGTACAAAGAGCAAAAGTGAGAAACAAAACAAGGAATTAATTCACTGCTTCCCATGGGCAGGCAGCTGTTCAGCCATCTCCAGGGGACCAGGGCTCTACCGCACATAATAGTGATTTGGGAAGACAAATAACATAACTCAGAAGCTCTCCCCTTACTTTTTCTTCCCCCAGATTTATATGCTGAGTGTGTCACCATAAGGTGTGAGATATCTATTTGATCACTTGGGGTCAGCTGTCCCAGCCGTGCCCTCTCCCAGCTTCTTGAGAAACCCCAGCCTCCTTACTGGTCATGTGGAATGAGAAGCAAAACAGGTCTTGACCCTGTGTAAGCACCTCTCAGCAATAACAAAACCATCTCTCTGTTACCAAGGGTGTTTTTCAGAACAAATTGGAAAGAGAACTACATACATGTGAAGAGAATTAACTCTATCCCAACCAAACCCAATACACTAATGAAACAGAAAAGGTCTATTTTAACATATAATTGCAATTTTTTTATCTGTTGTTGTATCTCTAAAGAGCATCCTCCACCCTCTAAATAAAATAAGAGCAAGTACAAGATACCCCTTATTTTATTCTGTATAACAATTAGGTTAAGTAAATCCATTTGGCAGTGGATATTAGGCTTGACTTAAAAGATGTAAAAGTGAGATTTCTGACCTGGAGATTCCAAATATTAACTTCACTAAGTACTTCAAAGCTCTCTTATACTGGGGATTTTTTTGTGTGTGTAGTTCACTATAACACTAAAACACAGATCTAATTACATCAGTTTTGGTAATAGAGATTATAGTGAAATCAGACTGAGAGAGTAGATGAAGCATGAGGCAGACGTTATAGTCCAGAAGATTAGAAGAAGTTTGCTTATGTTAAAATATGTTTGACATAAACAATGATAATCTGACCAGAGCATAATGCATTGAATAATAATAATGATGATAGTAATAATAATGATGTATAAAAGCTATGTAAACCAGATAACACTCAGCATAATTTAATTCTGAACTGGAACTTATTACATTAAAAAAAGGGCAAATTTCTCCTTAGCAAAAATATATGGAGATTCTTTTACTTAAAAGCTTCTTGCTTTTGCATTATGCTCTGCTCTGCAAATACTAATGGGCTTGGGTTGGGGTTTTTTTGCATAATGTAAGATCTATCCTTGAAACATCTCTTATGTCAAAGAGAACTTTAGCTGTGTGATGAACAATCAGCATGCCTTCTTATCAAGCCTTAAGCATTTTGCTATACTGCCACTGTTTTGATTTTTCAGCGTCCTCCAATTTTTGTGCCAGGCTCACTAAAACGCATTTTGTAGAAAACTACAATGTCAAGTACACATGCTACAATATAGCTAAAACATTGACATTAGTCTTTTTTTCTACTTTTCATGTGAGTCAACTTATAGCTCAACAGACTAGAGTATTAATCCTGTTTTTTTCTCCCTAAAAAATACATTTCCCAAAATGTACAAGAGTAAATTACACATGATCTTAATACTGTTTGCTCAGACTGATTTTAAAAACATAAGAAAATATGAAAATGCTAATGAAATAAGCTGTTGGGCACTGATAAGTGACTCAGAGAAACTTCAAATGTTTCTATTAAAGTAAATCACTGTACTTCTCACAGTTGACATGTGTTATCTATTCAGCCACTGCAACATGGTGTCTTTTTTGTTCCGTGGTGTGTAGTACCAGCCTATAGATTTTTTTTTTTTCTGGTAGTGACAATAGCAACCAGGAGCTAAAAGTTGCCCTAGCAAGCAACCATATTATCTTCTGGTAATCCTGAGTTATTATACATCCTCATTGTGACAATGAGTATTTGGTGGTTTAAAGCAATTCAAATTGCTATTTGCATTATATTATTTTATAATTACTAATTAGGTTAGTGTCTAAAAAGGACCAACACAAATCTCAAGGGACAAGAACAACAGAAAGAAATGGTAAATTAATGGTGTAAACTGAAACAGACAACAAATTATGAAAATTTTAACACTTCTAATAAATAAACTTTCAAATAAAATGAAACAAATAAATAAAATTTGCCCTACATTTCCTTTCACAAAACCATTGTATTATGCTTAATGTTGGATAACAGCTCTTCTGATGTATTATCCACTGAGAAATATGAAAAATGAGCATTATGAATACAGAAATCTTATGCAGTATTACTCGAAAGTCATCTTATTAAAGGTGTCTTTTACAATAACACAACTCCAAAATTTACAGGGGTTCCTCTGTCTGATTTTCTACATGTTTGCTCTTATTTTCCTGATAGCTAGACTGTCCACCACATGATTTTTGGGATGTTGGATTTGAGGGTTATCAAATAAAGATAATACATAAACTGTAAATGAGAGAATGGTTCATGCTTTACTAGTCTTGTGATTATAGAAATGTAAACTTAATACCTACTTATTTGAAAGTTTTCCTGATTTATATGGAAATGTCTTCATCAGCTTCCAAGCTCAACTACTTGCATTATACACTGAAGATTAGAATGATAATTTGACTATTTAAAAACAGCAAAACCATTACAGGAAACTGCAAATGATTTTTTAGATAGAATACACAAAATAATATAAATACAGAAACCAATAAATTCTGATCATGAATACTAAACTGGATGGATGTGTTTGGACTTTGACTAGTGGTGTCTATTCTCTCCCTAGCAGTAGTTACCCCCAAAATCTTCAAATGAATAATGAGAATCAATCCCACTCTTCCAAAGAAAAAGTGACTCCTATCTGTAAATACATTTTGTGTTGCAACCACTATGGCTACAGTTATCAGCCTGGGTTACTTTTGCTTGCAGTTTTCATAGGTGAAAAGGAAACTATCTAGATATTAAGATATAGGCTTGATTACTTCAGCAGTAAACTGAAGTTGAGTGGTATTTGTCAAGCTTTTAAAATTTTTATGACATATAAGTAGCCATCCCTCTCCCACACTATAATTTCTTGATTAATGCTAAATTTTCTCTCAAATGGTACACCTAAATTTACAGAACATCAGTGTATGTATTAGTTATTTGCACTTAAACAGTATTGCATCTGGACTTGACTTTATGTTTAAATACACTTCTTTCTCAACTTTTATGGCAGTATCACTAACAAGAACTTGTTATAATCCCAATAACGTGCACATCGGATTTTTTAATTTTCTTTGAGATACAATCTTTTTTTGATGTTTGTTCAAGAGTGAACTCAACATTCTTGTTTTCATAGTCCTCATTAAATAAATCCATCATCTTTAAAAAGCAATGTCAGTGAGGCAAAGTCCCCAGCAACTGGAAAAAGGAGAACATCAAAATAATTTTTAAAAAGAGAAAAAAGGAGGAACTTTGGAACTTAAAAAAGTCAGCTTCATCTTCTGACTAGAGAGATCATGGAACAGATTGTTGAGTAATATATATTAAGACATATGGGAGACAGGGAGGTGATTACAGACAGAGAACATGGGCTGTGACCAAAAAATGATAGTCCTTTTACCTTGCTCAATGTCCAAGGGGAAACCATAATAGATGATGTCCTTCAGGGGTCTGGACTAGGACAAATACTGTTTAACATTTTAGAAGCAAGGAATGGTTTAGGTTGGAGGGAACCAGACACCAGATCATCCTCCCTGCCATGAGTGCAGACATCTTTGATTAGATCAGACTGCTTAAAGCCCCATCCAACCTTATCTTGAACACTTCCTCTGACAGGGAATTCTATGGTTCTAGTCTATAAGTTTATATCTAATAATATGAAGCTTATTTAGCCAGTTTAAAAGGTGGACAGAAGAAGTGAACATTAAGTCATTCACAACAATATTTGCAGTCTTTCTTATTGTAAGTATTGCACATATACTAAGGCAATAAATACAGGCATTTTAAACCATTTATTAACTTATTTTTGTCTTGATATATACTTTATTTTCTTATTATATTGTTTCAATTCCATTGACTGTCATTAATTTATTCTCTGCTGAGGAAAACTTTTGGGTCACACACAGTTAACTCACACTTTACTCACACTCTACTCTCAAAAACTGGATCTCTTGAGCAGGTCTCTTAACTTTGTTCTTCTTGATGGTGAGACCAGGTTTCAGGAGAATCTGGACCATTTTCTCTCCTTTCTGAAACACTTCTGCCGTGTTTCCCCACATAATGATGTTGCTGATGTATTTTGCAGATGTTCTGGAGCAGAAAAAATACAGAAAATATATGAGAGGCAGGATGAGCTGTGAAAGAAATCAAGGTCCTATTCAGATTTAGAGCTATATCTTAATCTTTGAAAAATCAATATAGCTATTTAACTGATAATCACACCAATGAGTTTGAAAATTTTTGAAAGTGTGACTAAAACAGAAACCCAAGGGGGCAGAGAATAAGATGAAAATACTCCCCTGATAAATCATAATCAATCACAATTGCAGAAGAGATAGGAGAGAGAAGATCTGAAATTGTAGGGAAATGGTTTGAAGGAAGATTAATTATCTAAATAATACACAAGTTTAAGGAAGAGTTAGATCAGTGAAGTAAAAATCGTTAGAACTTTTTATTAGCCATGATCAATCAAGAGAGGAGAAAACAAAAAATGTATTAAGATGGAGTTGAAGAAGAGGAAGTAATTTCAGGTAACAAATGGCAATCATATATACAAGTGACTAAGATTACAAGTATTTTGTAAAGACTGATAAGGTCTATAAAACACACCTACAGTTTACTGTTGGCTACTTTGTTTAGAAGGGTTTAGAAGGACAAAGCAAAGATAAATGACAGCTATGTTTGCACTGCAAATGATTATGGTATAAGCTTATTTCTGAATAAAGAACACTATGGGATGCTGTTAAAATTCTATAGTTAATATATTTATTTTAAAAGAATTTTAAACAATAAGCAGCAAACATTAATTTTCATAATAAAGCAACTATTTTTATGTAATATAAATAGTGATACTGAAAAAGATTATATAAAATAGAAGATATAGATTTTAAACAAAAGCTCCTCTAAAGACAGCCTGATGTTTTTCTAGACACAGTTACCCCTTTTCAGAATAAAAATACTGCTATTAGAATTTACATTTCATATAGATCGCTAAATACATGCATTTGGACATTAATATTGCTGTTATTAAAAGAAAATCAATATCAGCATGACTATCAGATAATATTTTTCTGATCAAGTAGTCAGTCCAAGCTTAAAATGACTTGTTGTCAGTCGTGATACCACTGGGCTGAGAATTTACCAACATTTCAGAGATTAGAAATATTCCTTTAATTTCTAATTTAATGTTATAGATTAAAAAACTTATAAACCAAACTTAGTTAATCTAAATGTCTGCGTTTCTGTCCACTTTGGATATTTTTCTTTTCACATAGTCTATAGATTTCCTGGTGTGAATGCACAGAATTTTACATGAAACTCATCTTTCTTTATATACTGGCACTAATATTTTTCCAGACATACCAAAATATTTGGCGTAATTCTAAATTTATGTTTCCCTCTAGTGCTTTCCCTTATGTTTCTTTGCTGATTTATCATAATCTGTGACTATGGGTGCAAGATACACCCAGAAAAGAAATCATTACTTCAATAATACTGTTTGATTCAACTAACATCAGCTGTTCATATTTGAGTGAATAATTCAAGGTTTATAGTAAGATCTAGTTAATATTGACAATTGGGTCCAAAGCTTGATTCATCTCATTCTGATCATGTACATGACTTTGACCCTGAAATGTCTCTTCCCTCAGTACAGAGTCCAAGGTATAGACTCCTGCAAATGTCTGCATCACAGATGTCAGAAATAAAATCAGCTGAATTTCACCTTTTGATGCAGCATTTGTTCCTTAATTAGGTAACTTCATACTTCTAAATTGGATACCTGTCATTTGGTGGAATCTTGTTTTACAATTATATTTAAAAAAGGAGAAAAATAGAAGTTTGTTGTATTTTTATTGTGCTGTTTTTGCTGCACATCACACTTAGAGCTAGCCAAATTATTTCATCTTCCTTTTCTAAATCACATGAACAGAGCAGATAAAAAATTAATTAAAACAAACCAAACAAATATGGCTTATTCTATATTATTTTGGTTTCATCCAATTAAGATCCAGGAAGTTTCAAAGCCAAAATTTTCCGATGGTTCTTCAATGACTTTTACAAATTAACAGTGCATATTCTGAATGATAATTCTTAGCCAAGGTCAAATATAAGTTCTGTGCAAACAGATAACCAGATGTGCTGGACTAGTGGTTTTGAGCAAGACACTGAATGCCAGTAGTGTCTGTTTTGACTATGCATTTCTAATTCAGCTAGAAAAGAAAAGAAATATGTGAGTTACAGCTCAAGAAAATACTAGCAATGTTAATCTTGCTTTCATTTAATAGAAAAATTAATTGTATTTTCCACCATAAACAGTGATAAACAGATTTCTGCATAAAGGAAGTTTAACAATGCAGATTTCTTAAATTATTTTGAGGTACTGTAATCTCATTACTATAGGTATTTACATATTTAGGAGATATGCCTTTGGGTGTAATGTGGTGAACATATTTTATAACTGGTATAAAAACAGCACGGCAGATTTATAGAACAAGATGATTTGTTTAAAAGGTCGAATAATAATTCTGTATATTTTTTTTTACTGTATGTGGTTTTATTAAAGTGAATATGATTATGCTTTTTCCATAAAGAAAATAACAGTGGTCATAGAAAATAAGATCTTTTCAGCAGATACGTTCTCCCATATGACTTGCAATCTCTATTCTATCTATACTTACAAATCAGATTCTGAGAACAGGAGGAAGTTGGTTTGCCTTAGATTTTTTCTGTATATTTTCCATATTTCTGCTATTATCCCACCTTTTTGGGAAAAGGTTTAAAAACCTTCCATAATATTTTCTGCAATGGTGTCCTAGTCTTAGCATATTAATCATATCTATTGAGAAATAAATCCAATTATATATCACTTCGAAGTACGTAGCTATTTATAATGCATGATATGGTTAATCAGGAAAACACTGGCTACCTACAGAGAAATCACTGCAGTATGGCCATGTATCATTGATGGTGACAAGTCATTTAAGCAGCCAAGAGTGGCACAGTGAATCTGGTGAATCAGAATGATAAAATACTCAAATACATATAAAAAAGTCCATTTTTTAAAAAAAAAGTCCATTTACTGCATTAACTTCTATGTTCAGCTTTTCCACTGAAGCAAGTTTCTTAGATGCTCACAATACTAACAGCAGGGTTTGAGCCTCTGGAAAAAACACAGGAACAGAAACACATGATTTAGATCCTGACGTTATAGTTTTGGGACCTCAAAAGTAATTGGCACTTCATCACAAGTGCCTTCCCGCTGTGGCATGCTTGTAGCAAATAGAAGAAGATTCCTTTCAATTTTTTTTCCCACTCTGGTTATAGGGGATTTTTTTTTCTTTTTTTTTCTTTCCTTTGAGTTCCAACTTTAAAACAGTAACAAAGAAGAGTTCAGACCACCATTGCTAGCTGACCATGTTTGTGACAAAAATTGAAAGCTTACTCCCTGGACAATTTGGCATTCAACTGTGAAATTTGTCTCTAGACAGACATCTAAAAAGTAGTGGTTGTGCCCTTGATAGACGAACGGTTGTATCTGCTTCAGATTTATTCTTTAGGTTTTTATTTGACTTCAACCAAAATCAAGCAGAAGTTCAAGGTCAGATGGCTTAGTCCTTAAACTCTTTCTCACACTCTTTCACTATCTAAACTGAGCTGAATTCTGTGAGACAAATCATTTTCACAGCTAACTGGGAGAGAAATTTCTTTTCAGTCTATTTTCCAGACCTAGAATGCCTCTAAAAAAAATATTATTATTATATTCCCAAATGAGACTTGCTTATTTTAGAGCTATGTCACACTTTTGGCACTTATTTTGTGCATAATACAAGGTTACTGCTAGAACTCCCCTTTGCTATACTGATGTCTACCCAGATATTCCCCACTGGTATTTGTCCCCCTTGAGAAATAAAGCATTTTTATTATGTACTAATTGAATTTCATCTTTCTGACTACACATCCTGAAAAAATTTGTTAGACTCATTTTCAAGTCTGAGCCTCTTTATCAAACTTAATCTTCTTTTGGATGGATGTCATCAGTAAATATTAGAAGTTACACTCTGTTTTCTATCATACCATTGAGTAAAAATTGACTCTGACACCATTTTTCAGTTTAAGATGCTTCATAATTGTACCCCAAACCATTGATAACTATTATTGAAGAATCATTTTCCAGCCACCTTGAATGACTACAAATAAGAGCTGAGATTATATTTGGGATGTTTTGTGGGAGAGTCAATCATTCTGTGGTTTTGATATGTCACAACTACTGTTACAGTCCATAAGAAATGTCCTGGTTCAGGGCAAATTTGGGGAAAAACCCCCAAAAGGGTTCTTTCAGGAAAGCAGATTCAATTGGCCCCTCCCCCAACCAGTTCGGGAAAGATACCTCTTTGGAGAAAAGTGGAAAAAACCTGTTTATTAAACTAGCAAACTTAGACAATATTAAACAACAAAACTTCTTGCCACTCCAAGAGAGAGGCAATCTCAGAAAGATCCCTCAGGTTGCAGCTGGGGTCACTCAGTCTCTGCTCAGTCCCTCCGGCGCTGGAAATGCCGCGGCCCAGGCCTGGCCCGCTGGGCCACCGGTGCTGCTGCTGCTGCTCTCCTGGTGTACAGTCCAGAGCAGGTCCAGAGAAAGGGAAAAAACACAGTCCAGGGAACTTTGACTCAGCTAGCTAAAACTAACTAGACTAGGAAAAAAAACAAAGGAGAGCTCCGTCTCGTTGTCCGTCTGGACGCAGACAACTCAGTCCAGGAGCAGGAATGTGGAGGAGGGACTGCAGTTCTTGAAAACAGACTCCGCGCTTCTTCCCCCCACTCCTTCCCTCCTGGAACAAGTCTTAAAGGTGTAAAACTTATAATTCAACATAAACAGGGCAGACGATTGGGGATAAAGGCATCATACAGTCAACCTAGGACAAGAAAAAATATCAATCCCTCGCCAAACATCATAGACAAATATATTCAATTTTTTAGTCTGTGACCCCCATCTATTCTCTCAAGTTCTTAGAGATACTGGAATGATTCTAAGTGACTTCCCCTAAGTCCTTTGGCATGCTCTGGTGAATGAACTACTTCATTGGGCCCTG